TATATTTGGCCAGAGCAGAGAAGATGAAAACAAAGAGGATTTACAATATTCTGAGCTTCTTTTGCTAGTGTGAGAAAGCAAACAAAGATTTGGGGACTCTGAATGTAGAAGCTGATAAAACAGTGCTGCTCCCTAAAAACACCTAGAAGTCAGGTTTCAGCTGTTGTAAGATTGTTTAGAATCCATGCTATGTAACATGACTAAATTTGGGGGCTTTATGCTTGTCTTTTAGGATTCATATTTTAGAGTTTTTATACAGCTGTGAGATTAGAAAGATTACTTTTTATTATTCACAAAAGTAATTCTTGCATCGTAGTCTTAATTAAGAATCTTGGGCTTTTAAGAAATTCTCATTAATATCAGCCTTGGGATCATGTTCCAAGAGTTGGTCATGGTTATACTGTGCCCTTGGACAAAAATCAGCATGGAAGTTCCTGAAATGCTAGAACATGGAAGAGGGGTGCTCTTTACAGGGTTGCTATATTTCATTACTGTTTGGTAAAAGGGTAGATCTCTCCTACAGCAAAACCCTGGTTCTGGATACAGAAAATACTTTCTCAGATCAAATGATGTTCCAGTTGATTCATTAATTGATCTAAACAAATGGTTTTGCATTAATAGTGCTTTCTGGTATAGTATGTATTCTGTACACATTAGTTACTAGACTGACATGTAAATTACGTCATAAAAGCAAAACGAGCCATAAAATCAGATTCTTAATTTAGGGTCCGGATAGCTGCAGTGAATTTCCAGCACCTAATTCACTCTGAATTAGATATTTCTAGGCTCTGAACTGCCGAACAGTGCTGGGGATGGTTAAGGCTTTGCCATCTGTAATGCAGTTAAAGTATCAATGTTAATCATACTGAAGCTATAGCATGTTTTTGCCAGCTACTGTGTGATTTCAGAGTATACATGTTAGCAGGTTATTAAGCATGAGTTATCTTAAGGAATCTTGCTGGTCTGAATAAAGGACTTACGTAATCTTTAGAATGTGATTTAACAAATAAGCAGACTGTCAGCCAGCAGCATGCTGTCTGACTGAACGGACAAGGTCCCTCTTCAGTAAACTGGGTAGATAAAGATGGATTTTCTGTGCTTTCTACAGGGTAAGTCCCTCCCTGCCAAAGTGTCATTGTCAACTTACACTGCAGTTGACAAACTGAAGACACAGTGCTTCTGGATAACTGATACTTTTGGATTTTCAGCCCTGCACAAACAATCTAGACTGTGGCAGTTGATCTGATATAATTTCCCTGTGGGGAAAATGGTTCTTCAGCTAAATGGGGCTTTGTATCTTCCCAAAATACATCCCTGGTCGTGCAGCAACTGAGCAGCTCCAAGTTTTCCCATGGGTTTGCACTGATGTATCTTCTGACTATTCCTGACTAGCTCTCCCTCCTTTTCCCTACTCACTTTCCATATTGTACGGTTCTCTTGGTTTGAATATGGTGTTACTCCTTCAGTCTTTTAGTGCTTCTGTGAGGGGGGACATTGTAAGCCTGTATCTTTGAATACAGCAGTCAGAAGAAATGTGGATGCCCTGGGGGTTTTGACCCCTGTCAAAACTGACAGCATATCTTTAAAAGGTTTAAAACAAAATAAAGAGCTTATAGATGTTTAAAAGCTGTATGTTTGAAATGGGGAGACTTCTTCAGTGCCTAAAAGGGTTGCAAGGTGGGGACCTACTGCATATACTATACTGCACAGAGGCAGTGGTCATGCAAGGAGCTTCATGTTGCAGGTGATGCTGTGAGATCTGCTGGGGTTTCATGTCGTCAAAAACAGGTTTGAATTTGAGTTATTGTAGCAGTTGTTCTCTGTGCATGTACCCTGGCTTGAGCTACTGCAAAACTAAGCTTAAATCTTACACCATTTTAACTGTTTTCCTGATGATGTTCATCCATTATTCAGGACTTCCTTCCATGTCATGCTTAATTTTAAAGATGTTGGAAAAATACCTAGAAGCTTGCAAAATGTCTAGAAATTCCCATGCTGGCTCCATTCTTGACCCCACCATTGATAGGCACAGTGCCTGACTGGGGAGGAAAGACCCATGGTGACCCTCATGGAGGGATTTGTTTGTAGTACTGGTCCATTCTGTTTCCAGTTTGGGTTTGCACAGCCCACCTTTTGTCTCATCCACAGGAGTGGGTGGGCAGGGATACACAGACTGCATAGACATTGAAACACAGCCTCATCACCTCCCTTGGCTCAGAACAAACAGGGTTATCTGCAGCTAGCTGGCAGATGACTTTGAGTGACTAGGCAGGTAGTAATTTGTGCTGATTTTAGGGAAAGCTTTCTCCAGGGGCAGTTAGCTACTGTGTAGCTGTCTTCTTGAGCCATAGTAAAGTTCATTTTGCATCTCAAAATGCTTGTGGAGAAGAGGGCAGGGGACAGAATGAGGTGTGACATTGGCATGAATACTGCATTTCAGTTGGGAAAAATGTGAAGGGCTTTTCTGCCTATATGGAAATGTGAGATGAAAAACAATGGGAGCTCTAAGTCTTGCAGCTCACAAGGCACAGAATGGAGAAGGTTAGGAAGAGCCTTCAAACAGGTCTGCGGAATTGAGCGGAAGTTCCCAGTCACTTGTAGCTGTCTAAGAGTCACTAGAGGTGACTTCTCTGTTACCAGGTGTCTCCAAGGAGAGACACTCAAGAGTTTGCTATCATCTGACAGTGCCACAGGTTTTTTGGTATCCCTTGGTTACTTTAAGGAAAAAAGTTCCATTTAGGTGATTTACCAAACTGAAATTATATTAGATGTGATCCCTTATTTGAAAAAGTGACCTCTAGCAGGTAACAGCTGGTGAGATAGGAAACATGGATATCATTAGAGAAATATAAGCATACATTTAATCCCTATTAATTTAGCTGAGCAGTAACCTCAAAACATTCTCAGCCCCGACTGTGCCCAGCAACCATGAAATTTTGAGCTCTTATTACTGATCTTCAGCAAGTCAAATAACCTTTATTTTTTAAAGACAATAAAGTAAGACAACAAAGACTTAAAAGAAAGACCGTTCAGTTCTGTATTAATAAAAGTGGGGACCCTGGGTGAGGACTATAGGTTGAGGTCCATCTGTAAAGAGCTGACTTTCTTACAGACCTCTGGAGTTCAAGTTACCTGGATGTGTTGAAGTCACCTAGACCTTCACAGTTGACTTTGGTCTATTTAATCCACAGTCCTTGAGGATCTTTACAGTAGGGGGTAATAACTTCCCACCTCAAACTGAGGAGTCCAGTGTCCCAGCAGTGGGATCTGTGTGAAAACTGGTTTGTGCCATCTTTCCCAATGCAATCGTTATTCTAGGATTATACAGACATTTGTCTATCTCATTTGGTTAAGGGGGAAAAAATGTTATTGCAGTAGTTAAGTAATACAATACCTGGATAACAGGAAAATGGGCATTGACTGCAGCTTAAATCTGGAAATGTGTGGAATATAGGACACTTGGATAATAAATAATTATTAATAGTAAATGTTCCTGTGAATAACTGCTTACAGTAATAGATAATTTAGATATAATACAAGAGGCCAACATATATACAGGCTGAGCATTCCCACTGCAAGCTTAATTTTTTGCCCCAAGGACACCTGTGGGTGTTAATAGGACTGCTTAGCCTGCCCTGGGACCCCCACTCACCTCCTGCCCATGGCCCAGGAGCCTTGTTTCAGCTCAGCCTGAGTCTGTCAGTCCAGTGCCTGGGGCTGCCACAGCTGCCTGTCCCTCAGTCCCAGCAGTTCACTGCTGAAGTAGTAACTAAGCCCCGTGTCATTAATTCCAGAGATACCTTATAGCCATGCTTACATACAGAAGGTTACTACTCAGATGGTTGAATTTTGATACAAGATACCTTGGTAAACCACTCACTGAAAAGAAAGATACAGTCTAAGAAGTTACCTGTAAACAATTTCACTATTTAGCTGAGTTGTGTTACAATTCCTTGCTCTTCGTTGTTTATTGAAAGAATGGTTGATCTTCAAATTTACTTTCTCTCTTCCTACTTTTCCCCTCTGTTTACTTAAAGGAAGCATCTCCTGCATCATGTTTCACTGTCTTCTTTTTTATGGTGATAAAGGAAATAGGGATCAGAGAAACAGCTGCAAGATCTAGAAAGTCCTAGCACTGAAGTCCTGAGAAGTTGAGGTCTTGCAGTCTTGTGTGGGATGAGACCTTGTGGTCCATGCCTTGTGCTGAAAATTTCTAAATAGTTCTGATGAAAATTGCAAGTGTTTGTCTTGAAGATAATTGTGATTTAGGTCTGGGAAAATAGACAATATAATAAGAGCAAAAGGTTAACACTCAGATATAAGGAAGGTTATGACTTAAACCTTGCAGGTGCCTTAAGCTTCTCTTAAGCCTTTGGACAACTGATGACTCAGTACAGCACAGTGAAGGGTGAACTTGATTGTTTTTTCCTCAAGTTGAAAACTAAAGTTTCTGGCCTTCATTTTGATGCCTCTTGAATTTGGTTGAAGAGGAGATATTTGCTGCACTTGAGAAAGGTGCATAAATGATGTAAAATGTGAAAGTTTCAAGAGGTGCAGAGGGAGTGTCTAGAGTTGGTGCTTGATTACCACCCTGGTGTTCAAAATGATTTGTATGCTTCTCTAAGATTTTTATTTGATTTTGATTTCCTAAATATGAAGACATAATCACTGTCTTTTAGGCTACATTTGCATTTTCAGATATTTAAGTTTGAAATCATTTTGTCACTGATACTGAACTGGATTGTTTAAAAAGCTGTTTTATCTTACTTTAGTTGTGTATTGCAGTGGTATTCCTTCCCTTGGGTTAAAGGCAGTTTATTTGCAGGCAGAATGAGGAATGAGGCCACTTAAAAGCAGATACTGTTTTGAGAAATGTGTTTTGGAATGCATGAGATGAGTGAAATGGGTTTTAGTTGAGCTTACAATGTTTCACTTGCCCATGCAAATGTGGTCTTGCTTTGGGAGTGCTGAAGAGCAGGGTTTTGCTCTCTGTTTGAAGGCGAGTCAAGCTCATGCGTGCTGCAGCATGTGCCTCTTGAGTGCCAAGACCCTATCTGTGATCTGAACTGTGTTTTCAACTTCATTTCCAGTGGCGAGGCACTGTTGATCCTGTACCATGGAGTACTGCCTTCACACCTCCTCTGAAAATCTCTCCAAGCTGGTGAGCTGGGCCCACAGCCACGGGACCATCTGCAACCTCATCCCCAACCTCAAGCACCTGCTCTCTGTGGGGAACCATGACAACCTGATAGCCATGTGGAGCTGTAGTGCTGGCCATGCCTACCACTGGCCCTTGGCTGCCACTTGCCGGGCCGGCTCCCAGGAGGTCATCTGCTTCCAGGACAGCCGCAGCTTCACCTCTGACAGCTCCAGCATAATGGGGGTGTCGTCAGAGACACAGACCACCTCCCTTGAGCGCTACCCAAGCCGGCTGGAGAAGACCAAACTGGAATATACCTGCATTCGTGAGTCCTGTGACTTCTCATTCAGTGAGCCATCAGAGATGGATGAGCCTGGAGAGGAGTGTGAGGATGAGTCCACTATCTTTGACATGGTCTGCGAGTCCTCTGTCACCGATGAGGACAGCGACTTTGAGCTGCATCCCCAGCAGGCTCCCACCGGTCCCTGCAAGCGGCTGGCCAGCAGTGTGCACACCAGAGGCCAGGCCCAGACTACTGACGAGAGTGATAGTGAGACAACCACCAAAAAGATCAAGAAAGAGCTCCCCGAAGACTACTACATAGTGGCCAATGCTGAGCTGACAGCTGGTGCCCATGGGCCAGCCCTGGCTCTGATACAGATGCCCACATCCAAGCCTCGGGCCCAGGCTGGGCCTTCCTGCCCAAGCACCTCTAAGACCCTGCCCCAGCCTGCTGTGCGCCCCAACCCTGACCCACAGCACCGCTCTACCTCCCCCATCAGCTTGTCCCAGCTGACAAGAGAAATTCTGTCCGGGGGGCCCCTGGCCTCCCTGGCACAGTGTATGGATGGTACCCCTGTGACTGCCCGGCAGGTGTCAGCTAACAGCTCCAACACTATTGATGCCAGGAAAGCTATCAGCATCCCCCTTTCAGCCCTGCAGCTGCCTGGTCAGGAGGAGCCACCGGCCACTGAGAACAACCTCCCACCTGCCCCACAGCCGCTCCTGGGCAGCGAGGCGGACAGCTCACCCTCGGTGAGCACTGAGCCTGAGGTCAGCTCCAGTCAGCAGCAGCCCCATGCTGCCTCCACCACCACCACCGAGCCAGTGGTGCAGTCAATGCCAGGTAGGATGCTGGGTGGGAGTTGAGGGTTGGTGGTGGTTTGTGGGTGGCCCCCTGGGCACATCTTGGCAGGGGGTCAGCCAGGAAGGAGGTGCTGCATTGCAGGAGGGTGCCCTGATCCTGCTGACTTGTAAGTCAGTAGATAGAGAGACCACCCTCCAATTGTAAGAGTTGTTGAAAGGCCTCAACTGAGCAAAGGCCAGGAGCACTCCCCATGAAAAAATGTACTGCTGCCACAGGGAAAGCACTTTTAGGACAGGTTTATAGGTCTAGTTTTGGGTGCAGTTGTGTCATCGGAGGGGCCATGCAGCCACCTTGCTATGTGCATGGGGTGGGGAGGACATGAAAGCCACCTGTGCACTCTTTTAATGAGCCAGCAACAAGTGGTCTCAGCCAGTGGAGCCCAGAGTTGAGAGTTGTGTGTTGCCTTCACCCTGTTGGAATAGTGATGTCTGACATGGAGGGGCACAAGGAGAGCATCTGGAGAGAGGCTTGCACTTCTATAAATCTTTATTAAGTGCTTTCCCTGACCTGTAAATTGGAGCAGCCTGCACATATGAGAAGAACTATAACCTTAACCATGAAATTGATACACTTAAACTTTAATACAAGAGACAAAATTGATTTCCACACACACCCCCCATTATCAGTGGAAGTTCTCATATCCTGCATCCATTTTTTCATTTCCTACTGCTGCCAAAGCACTGAGAATTGGCACAAACAGATCACCATTATTGGATAAAGACTGTGTTAAAGCAGCGTACTTCTGCTGAATGATTATTCTATGTGCAGAATAACTCAGTGTTAGATGTAGGTCTTCTGGAGGGGGAGGAAATCTTGTTTCTTGAGCAGACTCACCAGCTCCGTCTGGACTTGAGGGCAGACAGTGCTGGTTTTGCTCTTCTAGCTGGTGTGTGATGCCATGTGAGGAGGCTAGGGCAGGAGTCAGTTCTCCATCTGCTCCCTTGCTGGCTCAACCTAGGAGTGTCTAGTCAGAGCAGAGCCAGATAGTGGAGGGGGGAACAAATTACCTATATGCAGTCCCTGTGACAGTTACTGTAAGTGCTAAAACCAATGACTTTAACAGCCTGGATGATACTTCAACCTAGATACCCTGAAACCTGGTTGAACATTAGTAAATCCATTAATTGACAAGAGCCTACAGATCTTGATGCCAGATAAAACAGTGGGCAAAGTTAAATACCCAGTTTTTCTAAGTAAAGCCCCACTAAGCATTAGAAAGGATGATAATTGTCTTAGTTACAGCAAAGCAAATTCTCTTTTGGGACCTGTTTCTGCATGGCTGCATCTTTGAGATGTTACTTTACAGTAGTCCTGTCACATATCTTCCCTCCTGGAAATTCCCTTGCCAAACTCCATCTGGTTTAGAACTGACTCTACTCAACTAAATGAGAGATGTGATACCTGATGTCAATCCAACTTGCGTGGTAAACCTACTTATTCTACATTCCTCAGTTTATAGCATGTTACTGCTCTATATACTATAGCTGGTGTCTACCAACCTGCCCCTGCAACTTGCTCAGTCTCAGACTTGCAAGGTGGGAAAATGGAATACAAACCTAGGCAGAATTTGTCCCTGTAGGTGTGTATTATCTATGAGAGTGATTTGCTTTCAACATATTAATTAAAAACCCCAAAGTCTTTCAAACTGTTTTTGCCAGGTCTTCAAAAGCCTAACTAACAAGGTTAGCACTTGTTACTGCTTAGCGTTATACCTTACAAAAATGGACACAGCACCACATTTTCACATTTACATAGTTTCCAGAGCAGGGTTGGTCATGTCTAGCATCTCACTGTGAGGACAAAGTAGGATTGCATCAAGATTTACACCTACTGTGTAAATCAACCCTCAAAACCTCCTGTTCTCAATACTTATTTCTCAGTGTTTTCAGTGTTACGCAGTTCCTCTCCTCAGCCTAGTATGGTGTTGTAATATGCTGTTGCTGTACTTGGAGGTAGCTACATTTTAACTAGGGTAAAATGATTGACATATGACTAAAACTTGATATTCACTTCAGTAAAGTCTCTGATTTCCATAGAGCCTGCTCCTTTGGGAAAGCAGTACTAGCAGTAATAAATCTTGAAATTGCAGAGAAGTGGGCAATGTTGGCAAGTGAATTTATTAGATGCATAGTTTTGCACAGCAGATTCTTGCAGATAGAATGTGGAGGTCAGATTAAAGACTAGAGTAGGATGATTGCTCATGTACAGTGATTTTATTGCAGTCTCTTAACAAAGACTAATGTACTGGAAGTGGTGAATGATACATAAAATTTGAGCAATATTGAACTACAAGAGGATGTTTATCTGTCTTATGTTAAAATGTTTCTGTCCTAAATGGAGAGAAAGAAGGTTGAGTATAATTCTTATGTTAAAAAAAAAAAAAGCCAGAAAATAATTATACTAAGGAGCCTAGAGCTTTTGTTAGTTTGTAGATTCAGCGGATGCTTGACAAATACACAAAGGTACAGCTGAAATTAAGCAGGGAATTTAAATTCTGCCTTATCCCCTACAAGGTGTTGCTTTAAAATAGGTGAAACCTAGCTCCTGATCCCATTAGAACTGGTTGTATGTTTGAGATCTTTGCAGGACTAAGACCTTAAATGGTAAGTTTTATGATTAAAGGGTGCTATCCAACCAGCAAGAAATACTACTTCTGAGTTTTGGCATAAGTCACATGGCCTTTCATTTGTATAAGACACAGCTGATAGTTTCTATGTGTGATGATCTCATAGGTCATGAAAGTTTGAGATTTTTCCATTAAATCAAAAATCTTGATGGTACGTTAGTTTAGGCCAGTTTAAGCCACATGATACTTTTGGATGAGTTTCTCTTTCAAACACTACTTTTTCATTTTTACTCTTTAACTGTGGCAAGTGAACGTGTAAGCAGGGAAAAAGGTTTTCATGTCTTAAGAAGTGAAGTGGCATCCCTGTGAAGATTCAGTAAAGTTAAGCACTGATTTCTTTTAAGTTCAGGTCTCCATCTAAGCATTGTGGAATATACTGAATTATTTTTTGCTAAACTTCATATGTTAAACTGTGAATTTTCAGATTGTTCTTATTAATAAAACCTTCAAGACTGAACAAATTAGCTGAAAAGCTGAAAAACTCAGAGGACCTACATCTGATAGGAGAGAGATTTTTGCAGTGGTGGAGAGCAGGAAATTTCTGCAATTTGTACTTCCCAAACACCCTCTTTTGGCTTTCTGTTGTGCTAATACTTGGTCTGTTTTTTATGTCATAACCAGAAAGGTCAAGGTATGTCACACCAGTGAAGATGGAAGGTAAAACTATGTTATTTAGGTTGCAGTACAGTGCATCCTAGAGAAATTAGTGACATATGAACATCTGAAATAATGAATGGAAAAGATCTGGTGTTTCTGCAGAAAGATATGGAGGACTATGGCTCAAAGCAGGATAGAGCTTGTTGTGTAGGAAGGCAAGCTTTGATTCTGAGAGGTAGGACTTACTTTGTAGAGCAGAACTGCTGAAGTACTTATGAAGAATACTCACTTTCCCCTGAACACTAGGATTAACAAGACACTGCAGCAAGACATCTCTGGTCCAACACTATATAGGGGCAAAGAGTTCCATAAGGATACACTAAAAATGTCAAATACACATGTACAAAATGTACAGAATGCAAAGACTAATGAATAGAAATGCAAAATTAAAGAAGTCCCGTAAATGAAGTGATTAGGGTTGTTGTTTGTCAGATGTGGCAAATCATATTCCGTGGGTACCATCACAATGCCATCATGCATATCTGTTGCTGAATTTGCCAGGCTGCTGCATCATGTCTTATGTGTACAGGCATTGCAGAGTGTGGAAGGGAAACACATTGTCCCCAAGCACCACTGCTTTCTTAGTATGCTGCACACTGTGCCTCTGCCATGGTTATCGAACGGTGTTAGCAGCTGAATTTGTGCTGTGATGGATGGTGCCCTGGTCTGCGCTGAGGGCAGTATGTAGCCTTGTTGAATTTCATGTCTCTGCTCTGAGATTTCCCCACTGTTATTTTCTTTTCTGTAGCTGGTATGTCAGGATCCCAATTCAGTAATCACCTTAGCCTAGTGACGTGGGCAAAGATCCTAGTTCTGGTCCTATGCTCTCATCATGGGAATGTGTGAACAGCGATTGCAGCTTTTCATGATTGGCACCCAAAATGGGTTCACTCTTGCCTACTTGCAGTGTGGACATCCCTGTAGATTCCAGGTCTGAACATGACCATTATAAAATGCAGTACATTTGGGGGTTGTCTGATATTGATGTAGAGCTTTTATGTGGGATATTTTAAAGTATTTTTCTGCAGTCAAAAGACCTAGGACCCCTCCCTTCATCACCACCCCTCACAATTGTGTGGGGTTAAGTGAGAGCTGAGATCCTCATGTGATTGTAAAGACGGTTTAGGAGCTGTTAGATGAGCATCAAAATGTTGCAAGAGTGAGGAGAAAGAAGTCCCCCACACCTCATGAATTGCCAGTTTTGACTAGGTTTAGCTTAAACTCCTAAATCACTGTTTATGCTGCAAGGGAAAAAATGTGTCAGCACATTTCAAAAGTAAAAAAAAAAAAAGGTCTTAGAGGTATATAAAGCATCAGCCATACATACAGAAAGGCCAGATTAATCCCTGCTCTAATTCTTCCAAGTCCAGTGGAACTGTGCAAAGAATGAATGTAACACAAGGCAAGCAATCACGTCAAAAGTAAGTTAGAAATACTCAAATAATTGCTGATTGGTCTGTGTATTTAATTAACATACAGAGATTGACGACTTCTGAAGCCTGCCTCCAGGGACATATGCTGCTGCATGTGGTCAAGCAAACAGTTTATGTAGGGGTGAAACAATCTCTTTGTGTTGGACTGAAGTTCAGAGTCCACTGGTGACTCTTTAGGTCCCATAATTGGCATCTATACTTGCTCTAGTAGCTGAACTAAAAATATTAAGTGCTGAGATACATAAATACAAAAAGCATAGTCC